TATTCTGTCCCTTCCTCAGCTCTCAACCATCCCTCCGTGTTCCTCCCTGCAGGGCAGTATTCTGTCCCTCCTCACTCCCTCCTGTCCTCGCCCCTGCAGCAGCTATTCTGTCCCTCCTCAACTCTCACTCCCGACCTGTCCTCCCTGCCCAGGCAGACTTATTCTGTCCCTCCTCACTCGTCTCCTCGCCTCACCTTACAGGTAAGCCGGGACCAGCAGGGCAGCCAATGTTTGCGAGGAATGCTGGCCTTCGCGGGGGTTGACCCTTAGCTAAGATGTACGATGCGGCACCGGAACCGCTTCATAGACATCAACACCGGCAGCCAAACCTCACGCATCTGCTTCGCAGGTAAGCCACAGGCAAACGAGCAGGGTGACCACAAGCTAACGAGCAGGTAAGCACAGTTAACGAGCAGGTGACCACAGTTAAACGAGCAGGTGAGCGCAGCCTAACGAGCAGGTAAGCCACAGCTAAACGAATTGCAGGTAAGCCGCAGTTAACGCAGCACATTGGCATCATGCTGTTAAATTCAACTGCATTTTCTAATCACACTTGTGTTCATTAAACCAAGTGTGTTTGTTCTTTCCCTAACACCTAGTAGAATTAAACACGTGTTTCTAGCTACGGATGTGTCTTAATGACAAGCCGTGTTCTCTAAATGATCTGCTTAATTCACTGTTGTGTTGCCTTCATCAGCCTGTTCACTAATGATCCGATGTTCGCGGGGCCAGCACGAGGCGTCGTTTTTAATTGAGGCCTCTATCCTCTCGGGTTGCGAAGTCATCGGAGGATGCAGCGTTTTGTGTATGTTATGCAGAGGGAGGATGGAGCGTCGACCGGTGACGTCAGCAGACACGGGAACAGCCATCTCCTGGGCTCAGCGACATCTGTGAGTTAGCCCGACGTCTATGCATACCAGCTTAGACTGTCGCAGTATGAGTAAACCTCATGAAAACATATGAACGCCTCCTTATGGCGGGCGCTGACTCGATTTGCTGCATGATTTGAAGCTGTCGCTATCCCGCCGAGGTTTTTAACACCGTTCGCTCGATTTTCGCGCGACAAGTTGTACAGAGTTGGCGATTTGGTAGTGGAAATCGAGCCGACTATGTTGAAGCGGTTTACAGTGCGCATTGCTGAAACTCTGCGTGACCCGGTGTGCTTCTGCGATAGCGGGAGGCTCCAGGATGGCTGATCGCGCGAGCATGAGGCGATATGCTCATGTGTTAGTTATGGCTTCGGCGCTTCAGGACTGTCTTGCGGCTAAGCGACGGGAGAGCTCTTGCGATTCGCGGGAGTCGCGTGAACGATTCGACGGTGTCTTCTTCATTCCTTCCTTCAGTGGTCTCAGCCCTCCCAGTGAACATCCTCAGTGTAACCATGCACTCTTACCCACGTTAGGTAGTTCAGTCTATTGGGAGGCTGTAGTGTGATTATATAAAAACACGATAATAGTAATATATTATACATAATTTATTCGCACCATTACAGAACACATGATTGATGATTATGGGTATTTACTCACGCTAGGAGTAGAATCTCAGCACTAGTGCCACCAAGGAGTGCAGACTGGGGTGATGCAAAGAACTTGTGGCGACCGTGTTGAGACGTTATGACTAATATTACGATTTACTGGATCAATGCTTAAGCTTTCTGTTCTCGTCGCTCTGCTAGGCTTCCCGGTCAACACGACCGCGCAGTCGCCTCTGTGCCGCGGGTTGCCGTCGGCGGTCTTCTGTCCTCGCACACGACGGAAGGCTCACATGCGTTCGCTCGTTACTCCGAGGCTCGCTTGCCTTCCGCACTCAAACACAGCTGTTTGAGACGCATCGTTTGCCAGGCGGGGCGGACCTTTCCCGGGCTCGCGGTAAACATGGAGGTGAGAGAGCGCTCGCGCGTGCACAGTCAGAGGGCTCGCACGAAAACTCCCACGATAAACGATTCATTAGTGCCGTGACAATTGTTAATTCTGAGTGATAAGGAGACGTGGTTTTTCAGTTTTAATTGTTATTTGTTCTACAGTTCATGTACAATTAATAACGTATACCTCAGATGGGTTTACAGCGTTGCTCTCTCTCTGTCTTCTCCACTGACACATGGGAAAATAAAACAAATCTCGTGCATAACATAGCTTATGCACGAATTAAAAATATACCTCACGCATAGGATTGCATGTGCACAAATAAAACTTGGTACTTGGTAACGTGTCGTCGGTGTTGTCTTACCTCTGCAGGGTGGACGGAGGCGTGGCCAACAACGACTTTCTGTTGCAGCTCATGTCCGATCTGATTGATCGAGAGATAGACAGGAGCGAGATCAGGGACATGTCAAGTCTCGGCGTTGCCTTCCTCGCAGGATTAGCTAGTGGTATATAATACACGTGTGTTGCAGCTTGTGTGCGGGTGGTCAAGGTGTTATGTATATCTATCATTAGCATGAGAAGTTAATGTGGGAAATGCAATTGAGTATGGTGTATTGGTACGGGAAATTCATTTGAACATGAGTATGGGGTTGTGGTATAAGAAATTCAAATGAGTATGGCATATTGGTATGGGGAATGCAATCGAGTATGGCATATTACTATGGGAAATGCTGTATATATGATAATTGATACACTGGTATAGAACATGCATATGAATGTAGAATTTTCTGATGCTGGGCATGTTTTGGTGTGAGTGCCGGGGTGGGTTGCCGCGGTTACAATGTGCACGGCAATGTTTCGTGGCTTCAAGCGTTGTACTTCTCACACGCAGGGATCTGGACCAAAGCTGAACTGAAAAAACTACGTAAGAGCGAGAGCGTGTTCCTTCCCAACACTCAGCAGACGTGGACGAAGTACAGCGCCATCTACAGGACGTGGGAAAAAGCCGTGCAGCGCTGCCTCGACTGGTATCCCTCCTGCGCAACGTAGCTTCCCCCAGTGCGCGCGCGTGTGCTATGCAGCATTCCAGAGTTGTAGATTTTATAGCGACACGTGATTAGATAGATAAATTTTATTTACACTTTACGATTTTCTATCAAGATTACTGTCTGACAATCACGAAATGCTGTGAAGTGTGTGTTGTCTTGTCTTGTCTTGTCTGATACTGTACTAATCGCCTGGTGTGACTATAGACGGGTCATCCTAAATTTTCTTCACGTTTTCTTTACCGCTGTTAATTAAGTTTTTAAATGAAGCCACAACATCCGTCATGTTTTAATGTTGTGAATTTTATGCGATGAATTATATACACGATTTTAACCGAACAAGTTAATAGTATTGTGCCAAATGTTTGTAAAAATACTAAGCCAGTTTATACCAAGTTAATGTCAAATTTTGTTAGTATTGTTATATATATATATATATACAGTCCTAGAAATGTAGGCTATGTATAAATAAATATCATATTCTATACATAAACAAGAACAATGCATTTTAATTTTAATTATCTCTCGACATAAATATAGTTCACTTTCTAGCCGGGGAATTTAATTGAAAAGTAAACATATTGAACAGTAACATGACACTGGTCTACATATACATTGTTGATATACTGCGTAAACGTATGCTTGTAGTTCCGTTTCATTGTACAGAGTGATTCCGGTATTTACATGTACCCGTCAGTCCCATAATGCATAGGGGTTGTACCACGAGGATTCGGAGTAAACATGGCGTAAAGACTTGACTCGGTATCTGTGTTTGTCCTGTTATTTGTTGAACCTACACGTTATCAACATGGAGGCAGCG